TTAAGGCACTTGTAATAATTTCGCGTAGAAGAATGAACGAGTGCTCCGCGAGGGAGATGGCTGGGGGAAGGCGTTTCCGCCGTTGCCGAAGGGCCGAGAGGCCGAGGGCGCCGATTTACAGCCCGGGCATCGATTCGGAGAGCGGAGCGGAGGGCGGCTCGCGCCTCTTCTTGCACCCGGACCGCCGCCGCCGCCGCCGTCCGCCCCATCTGCGCGATTTAAACGCACGCGCGGCTCCTTCCCCGCCCCGCCACGCTCCGCCTACTCCTCACCTCGCCTCGGCCCCCGTCGCTTCGCCCTCCTGAGCGCGTTCTCGCGTGAGAGGCTGTTCGAGGAACAATCGATTGTGACCGACGGTACCTTGCTCGAGATATCGACTGGTTAAGGCTTTGAAGGCCCCCACTGGTCACGCAGGCGTTCTCCGTCTGAGACACAGCGCCGTTTCTTGTAGCTTACAAGGACTGAATTTGCTTTTTCACTTCACATTACTACAAGACCGCCTACGTTTCAAACATTAACGGGGACGAAGACTCGTACGATAATATTGTTTTATTAACAAGGGAATTGTAGTCGGACCGATCGGTTGTGAAATCTATAGAACTTGTGTTATCTGGAATGGACATGACAGCTCGTGACAGTCAATTTTCCAACACGCTGATGGAAGTGGAAGGAGTGAATGGATGTCCTGAATATCGAACAGTCCTGACAAATTTTGCTCTCCGTCAAATAAGATTTTCGAACTGCAACGTTATATCCGAACAAACCACATTGAAAAAAGGAGGAACGAACGAAGGCAGCTCTGATTTTAATGCAAATGCAACCCGGTCTCCGCATTTCGTCGCGCGTGGGCGTTGCTATTTCGGGCACCTCCGCGGCAGCCTTCGGGGCCCGTTACGAGGCTCCTTAATCGCAGCTCCTGCGCGCCTATTAGGCGCCGCTTGATGAGCTTTGGCGCTGTGGGGGGAACGGGACTTGAGGACCTGAGCTCTCCGCGGCCCAGCTCAGTCGCTTGGCGGCCGAGATCGCTTGCGCGTGCAGGGCGGCGGGCGGAAGGCGTGCGGAAGGCGTGCGGGTGGCGGCAGCGCCAATGGGAGCCCCGGCAGCGGACGTCTGCTCCCGCCCCGCCCTAGTCCCCGCCACGCGCGCGAGAAAGCTACGCCTGCTAATCCAGGCGCACTCCCCAGCGGCACTGGATGATCCGCTTCCGGCAGGAAAACCCTTTTCATTCAGTGCTAAACTCCTCGAATGAGATTTTCGTTTGCGCTGGCTTTCCTTTCCTGCACGTCATAACAGGACGAGGCGCGTGGATCCGTTTTCTTGCGAGGAGGTTCCACCTGCCTGGGCGCGTCCGCGGCGCCCGTGGATGTGCGCCAGGGGTCGTTGTGGGGAGCAGAGACAACGCCCTGCCGCATCGGCGCCGCAGGGCAGCGGCCCCTCCCTTCAGGCTCCCCCTCGCCCCCCCCGCCTCCGCGCGGGGGCTGCGTTTTCTGGCCGCGTGCCCGCGCACGGCCCTTTCCCGCCTCCCCCTCCCCCTTTCGCTCTCCGCCCCCGCCGTATCTCCGCCCTCGCTCTGGCGATCGCGCGAAATATCCGCTTAACGACAAGTTCACGCGCGCCTGCAATTTCTTGCGACGGGTGCGGGCGCGGTTGGCTGGCCCCGAGAATCGGGCGGTGCAATGCACACCCCGGACTCCAGGGCACAGGGCGAGATATCCTCGGCGCTGTCATTCCCCCGACAGTCCGATTGCACCGGAAGGATGTATCGCGTATTTACACCGATGCACGACATTTTAATTACCATTGATGTATTGTTTGTCAATAAGGGTACAATTGTGGCCGGCTTTCCTTTGGATCTTTCGTTGGGATGTCTTAATTCTAAGGACATTTGAGTGACAAGAGGTAAAAAACTTAACAAAACGGTACATTCTTATATTTCAATGCTTATTACCAGTTAAATGCACGCATGATGCGCATGAAACACACAATAGGCACAGTACAGTGGCAAAACGGCATATAACCAAAGGAGAAACATTTCCTCGTTCCAGACACCTCTTCTCCATAGCCTGCCCCTATTTGTCCCGCACTCGTCATAGGCGGTTTGCGCCCGAGGACCCGAGCCCTGGGCCGCCGGAGGGCGCAGCGTTGCGCTTGCGCGGCGCGGCGGCCGCACCGGAAATAGCGCACTGCACCAATCTGCCGGACCCTCCGCCGCGGAGGGCGGGCGAGCGAGCGACAGCGCCGGGCGCGGCGCGGAGGGGCCGCGGCACGCGCCGGCGTCGCAGCCCGCCCCCGCCCGCCCGCCCTTGCATGGCTCGCCCGCGCCGCCGCCGCCGCCGGCATCTCTCGACGCGCCGGGGAACCGCGTGTTCCGCCGGCCGACTCCAGCGCGCGTGCGCATCTGCCTGCGCGACGCCGTACTAGTGCGGAGGCAGCGCGCCGTCTGGGCGCAAGCGCGGGCGATGGCCACGCAGCGCCCACCCGCCCTCTTGCTCTGGCGTGCCCCTGCCCTGCCCTGCCCTGGCCTGCCAAGCTGCGGCCTCTACCGCCACTCCATGAACGGCGCAACCGCCGGAGGCACGCGCCTCCGCCGCCGAGCTGTTGGCGGCAGGGCCCCGCACCGGCCGCACTGCGAGCACTGTCTCCGCGCCGCGGCCAGATTCCGAGAAGCGCTTCCAAAGCACACGCAGCTGTACGCCACGCCACGTCCCAGCCCGCCACGTCCCTCCACCAGCCCACACCCGATTTCTTGCGCGCGTCCTCTTGCAGGCGTTTCTTCGGATCCCTGCGTCGCGTCGC